CTAGAAGACAGTGGGTCAGGAGAACCAGTATTCCAGCTGTTGGAACATCTCCAGAAAATTTCTTGCTGAGTATGGAGAGTGTTTGTTCTCAAGATGTTCCAGGATCCGGCAGTGTGCGTCTGCAGTGGGAGCCGGTAGGGACCGAGGACGAGTCAGGGGCAGATTTTGCCGTGACTGATGTGTTGGAGCTTGGGAGAGCTTCAACGGGCCTTTCAGTTGTCTGATGTTAGGGCCGCTGCAATAGGAGAGCTGAGGAAGATTACTCGATGTACAGGGAATCGTGGTGGATAGCAGTTGATGACTATCAAGCCTCCAAGTGGGAGAATGTTGGGTTTGTGGAGGCTTGGGCTTGACTTTTGGCCCGGCCCATTTTACGAAACTCTAGATGCACTCTTCCTATATATATATTGCATTCTTGTACTTGTAATCCGTACCACAAGTGAAATAAGAAAATCCTCCCGTTGCAGCCGTGGATTAGGGAAACTGAACCACGATAAATTCTTGTGTGTCGTTTGTGTTCTGTTTCTCTCTTGATTCTCGCAGATATTTGTGTGTGTTGCGTGCATAATCCCCAACAACAAAGTGGAGGCATTCTTTATTTTCCCGAGACTATATACACTCTATGTGTATAGAGGCTGTGATGATATCATGCTTTCAAATCTTGAAGCATTTAGAGAACCAAATCTATGTCTTGGCAGGGCAGTCAATGTTTTGCAGCCATAGTGGATCTGTTTTCTCTTTGTGCCTGCTGGAAACACGTATCTGAGCGTTGACAGAGTAACAAAAAAATCTACTAGTGTTTCAAGTCTGAATGATAAAAAACAATACATAAACTATATACGAGAATGTCTAGTAAGGCATAAATTTATTTTTCAAAATATAAATTTATCCTGTGATAATGTAACATTATATATTAATATTGAATAATATATTTTGGTATTATATGTTGGAAAAAGAAATAAAGTAAGAGTAAAACATGAAAAACTATCAAAATAAGAGCTCTGTTTTATTTACACCCTAAATAAGAGTCACAATGCTAAACGCATGTAAATAAGACTTAGCAGGGAAAAGCCATTAGGAATGCCAACTCAGCATTTGTTAGCTGAATTATCACAATTCCCGTAAAGGAGCATGATAAGTCGTTTTTGGGTTAGTTCTTTTTATTCAATTTTAGGCATTTTTAATATTTTTAGTGTTTAATTTTTAGTTGTTTAGCATAGTTTTATTTTAATTTCTATTTTTTACAATCTTTTAATTTTCTTTCAAAAATAGTAGTTTTTTGATCTTTTTTTTACATTCTATTATTTTTATTTTCCCTAACCCAAAATTATTAGATCTCTTATTTTTTGGAGAAAAATGTAGCAAAAAGGCCAAAATGAAGTTCAAGTTTGAAAAGAAGAGATTGAATTTGGGCCGGAGCCCAAACCCAACACAAAAGACCAACCCAGCATTCACTTCCCCAATTTGATTTCACGTCAGAAAGGAAAAAGAGAGCCAGCAGCAGCTTCTTCTTCATTAACGCAGTTGCGAAGTAACCTGCGACCAATTCCTCCAACGTCTCTCCGCCAAGTTCGCCCAAGCGCTCCAACGGGAAAAAATCTTTCGGCTATAAATTGCTCCATCGCTAAACAAGGAAGGGAAAAACACGAGGAACAACAACGATTGAGAGCCGCGGCTTAGGCCGCGGCGGTGGTGATGACCGGCGAGTTAGTCCGGCGTCCGGCGGCAAAAGCTCCGGCCAGAGGTTTATCGGTTCCTTCAAGCTCCAATTCTTCAATTACTTCTTCTTCTTCAATAATTGGTTACCCTATATGTTATTTCCTCAATTTCTTTGTAAAAGTGTTGTTTCAATTCAAATTTACATTTTTTTTGCTTGTTGTGTTAATTTCGAAAATTCCAAAATAGTTGGTGTTTCTTTATGGGTTTTTTTATGTTATATTAAATCCCTTATGAATGAAAATTGATTCTTACTAGTTTCTTCAATTTTTGCGCAAATTGATGTTAAATTGGTTGAGTTATAAATTTGATTTCATAAGTAGGTTGGTATGTCGAATTCGGTTATCATTGAAGCTAATTTAGCTACATATTTTAGTTAAGTGATTTTCGAATTCATACGTGAATCTTTTTTGTGACTTGTGTTTTGTAAAATTTTAAGGTAAATGATCTTCTTAGCCACATAAGTCGACCGTTTTTCTTAAGATTCGTTATAAAGTGATTGTTTATGTCTTGGTGTTTTTGTTTGTTATTTTCATAAAAATTGGGATTGTTTAAGCGCAATAAACAACTCTTGATTTAATGAAAATATGTAATGTTTTTCTTATGTGAATAGATTACAATTCTTAGGCTTGAGTAGTTCAAGGAGACCTGCAAAATATTTTCATCATTAGACGTTAAGGTTTATTAAAGTGTATCAAATGTTCTTCATGAATACTTTGTGCATGGGAGTTAGAATGAAAGAAAGATTCACTCTTTTATAAACTTTTTCATCTTTTGGAAGTAACCAAAAGGCTTTTGAATTTTTGACTCCGGGCCTTATAGAGAGTTGACGATCCTCTATATGTGGTCAAGGATATGAATCAACTCGAGCCTTTGAATTATTTTCTATTCTTAAGTGCGTAAGTTACGTAATATATTGTCTACGTGCCTATTATACGTGTAATGTTCTATTTTTGTTCGTTCTCTTTTTAATTTTGTTTCGGGTTCTTGGCGGTGTTTCTTGGGTTACCTTTGTTGGAGAAGTTGATTATCTTTTGAGATTGTTTCCCCCATTTTATCAAAAAAACCAAAAAAATAAGGAAATATAAAAACCAAAAAATATTTACTTTTTATTCAAACCCCCCCTTTGTGTTGTGTTTCAGTTATATTATAAGTTCTTTGTTTATATATGATGGTGTAAATTACTTGATCGGTCAAACTATACTAGACCGGGTCTAGAATAGTTCGCTTGATTTGGCAAAGTAAGAAAGGTAAAAACACGCAAATTGACCGGTAGGACTTTAGGTGGAACACCTGTAGCCCGATTTATATTATAACGGAGAATGCACGGGTGCTTTTTACAAGGGAGTTTAGAGAGAGTGAATTCGGATCCCTCTTTCTGAGGTTTACATGAGTATTTATACTAGGCTAAGGGGACAGGACCACGTGCGCCCACGTGGGGGCATGCTGCCGATGTGGTGCGAGGTGACTGGTTTCGTCCTCAAGCTGCCTTGTCGCCTTGTGAAGGGGATCATTCCCTTTGTCAAGTAGTGCCTTGGATGGATTCTTCAGCATCTCCAGTTGTCCTCTGCTGACACGGGTCGCTACACGCCAAACCCTCGCAG